ACTCTAGAGCATGGTGGTGTTCTATTGCCCCTGCAGCTAAATATGTCATCACAAATATGTTGTAGATGTGCACCCTGTCACTGAAAGATCTCTAGGGATGTTTTAATGTCTTATGAGAAGAGATTTCACCTGTTCTCTACAGTTTAAAAGGAGAAAAAACACAGAAGTATTCCCAGTGCTTTTAGGCAAAACTGTTTGACAGATCTGTTTTGGTATCACACTTGAAAAAAGAGAGAAGCTTGAAAACGAGGTGAACGTATAGTTACCTAAGGTACTGTAAGAGAAGCATTTTTTTCTGTTTAACTGAAAATCTTCATCTAACATGTCAATAAGTAATTATAGCAGAAAAATCATCCTTGCTATTAATGAAAAATCTCTTCATAAATTCTGTCATGATATGTTGTCATTGATGGGGAAAAGACTGATGACTGACAGATGTCAAAACACTTATTTGAGTGAAAAACACTCAAATGCCCTGGGAGAAACTTTTAAATGCATATGAACATGCTCACTGGGCCTTTCATATTTATAAGCTCTTCAACATTGTCTTGTGACTGTCAAGATATAAGCTGATACACCTGTTAAAAAAGGAGAATGTATTTCCAGATAACAGCAAATACTAGACTCGAGACTATTTTCAATCTATAAATAGTGATTACAATTCCCTTGGATATTTTTCTGAAAATCAATATATACCTGATATATGCACTAACCATTATATAAGAAACATCATAATCAGAAGAGTATTTTTACAAGGGAAGAGGGGGGATAACAGATAGAAGATAGAGCCTTTTAACAGTGAGGTGTTTGAAATAAACAGGGCCAGGAGACAAGCTCCTTTCAAAAGGCCTTTATTAAGAACAGCTCTTGGGTGGGGAACCCGAGGGGTCGCGCACACCGCCACTGCTCCCACAGGACGAGGCTGAGGAGGATGAGTACAGCTTTGTCTCTCGGCAGAGCTGGGGCTTCTGTCCTCACGAGAGTCCTCAGGATTCAATATTCACAAGGTAGGTTTGTTTCTACTATCAGCATTATCACAAGAAAAAATGTCAGTAATTTCCAAAATATCTGGAACAGCACTGCCACATTGCCCATATTCACTATGGTTACACATTATTTTTCATACATAATAAGGATTTAAATTGTGTATGAAATAGTGGTATTTTGAAAAACATTTCTTAATGCAGTCAGAACAAAAAATTCATTGTAAGGCTTGAAATGAGTGATCTGTCAATCACAGATTTAATATTTCAGTTCATGTGGTGGAAAAGGAATGGTCCTGGACCACCCAATTACAATGGTCCCACTGCACAAGGCAGTAGCCATAATGTGACAGTCCTTTGAATGTAAAGCCCCAAAATATGTAGCTTAGTGCCTTCTGCCTGGCTCTCTGCCTCCAGACACTCAACAGCTCTCTTTGAGACACCTGGAGCCATGGAGCACAAGAGAGATGGTGAGACCACATTGTACAAGGCACAGACCTACCTAGAAGCCAGGGCTGCATCTAGCACTGCACATGAGAGGAGACAGATCTTGTGTTCACACAGAAAAACATCAAATAGATAATCTGGTAGAGTCAAACAATAACCACTCCAGTATCCACTCTGAAGTTGTAACAAATATCTGGTCTTCCATCACATAATCATATAGGGGGAAAATAGAAGACACTGGAAATGTGTTTCAGCAACCTATAGAACTACAGAAAACACTAAAAATTCATTATTGTTTCATATAAACTGGATTATGTTTATTTTTAACTTTGAATTCCTTAAGGAATTCAAGGAAAGAAAAGGTGACTTTTTGACATTAGATGTGTTAATGCCATTAAATCAGTTCAAACTCCTGTCTCACTTCTACTTGTTCCCTTCAAAAGCTCAGAACAGCACCTGCTTCAAAACTAATTCTTAGTCTGCGCAGACAACCATACTTTCCGTGACTTCAAGCACTACTGTAGCATTTGCTTGGCTAGAGCAGCAGGTGAACATATGTGGTCATAAATGCATAGAAAAATCTCCTTCCTTCTGTGAAAATAATTGTACATTCTATTGTACAATAGAATCCAACATGAAAGATGGTAGGTATTTTTTAAATACAATTCAAAATCAGAAAGTTTCAACAGAAGGTTTAATCAGATACACCATAAAATCCCCAGCGTGGGAATAGGGTAATTATTGTCATTTCATTGGTCTCTAACTACCTACAATTATCCCTTTATACTACTAATCAGCTTCATACCATTTGATCTCCGTTGCTTTTTATCCATCTAATTACAAAGTAGCAGTAGATGTTTGCATCACAAAGACTGGTTTGAGTACACATTGCAAACTCCTTCAATTTTCAAACGTCTGCATTTTTCCAAAGATGCAAGACTGAAAGCTAAACATATATTTAAAGGCTATCTTTCATGTGCCACTGGTAGTCATGTATTTAAAAACTATTTTATGAAGAAAGATTCATAATATTTTTTACAGCAGCAGCATACAAAAAAAATTAACATGAAAAGCATGATAGAAACATATGCCATCTCTCCATTTTATAAATAAATTATTTGGTCTGAGACCAAATAATGTGCTCTTTTTCACTAGCACGCACCAGTTCTGCTTTCTTGTGACCTAAACTGAAACACACCCCCCAAAAAAAAAAAAAAAAAAAAAAAAAAAAGAAATTTTTGGGGGGTTACCAAACCAAAAAACAAAAACAAAAAACCCCCCCCAAAAAAACCCCCCCAAAAAACCCCCCCAAAACACCCCCCCCAAAAAAAAAAAAAAAAAAAAAAAAAAAGGTAGATTTGGAGGCTGCTTTAGTAGTTAGAAGGCTCAGAAGGGCTTGTCTGGATTCCATGATTTAAGTTGGTCTTTGGAAGATATTCTCTCTCACTCTTAGCTGAGTGCAGCCTCCTAAAACACCAGATATGCATAGAGGAGATCCTGTGAACAGACATCTTGTCATGGCTACAAATGCCACCGTGCCTTCTGCCCTTTGCTATCAGTCCAGTCAAAACAGTTTTATGTCTCATGAAGCTTATTGCAATATCCTCCCTCAGCTATCATCTTTTGGAAAAGCCAGTTGTGGCAAGGGAAAATAAGGTATGCTTTGCTTTGGTGTGGACATTGGCCACCAATATGTGATTACAACTGAATGACAGGTTCAGTTCAGCACTCAAAAAAGGGAATGGGACAAGGTCTGAGGCCAGCGCTCCTGCAGTCCTTACAAAATGCACCTCCTTTTTAGCCCAGATTTAACCTTAACTGGAACTGAAGATCCTATCATTGATATTTGCAACTAAACTGATATTTAAAAACAGGTATTTCTGAAAATAGGTATTTTGATTTTTAAAAATAGGTATTTCTATTTTTTAAAAATAGATATTTCATTACCCATGAAATAGGTATTTCATGCTTACTAAAATCCATTTGCTAATGCAGCCCATCCACTATGTTTTTCTGGAAACTAACATGAACCAATGTCATTGTAGGCCTTAATGAAACACAATGACTGCACAGTCAGTGACTCCTCAGGCTGGAATTTTTGCTCATCAGATCATGCTGATCTTATCAGGTACTGCAGTTAAAAACAACCCTCCATTGCCACTTTGTCTAAATGAGAACTTCAACAAATGTTGAAGTAGGCTTCTACTGTGTGAAAAGGCTCACTTTAGGAGGTCTTAAATGCCACTAAGAGAGATGAAATTTTTTGGTGGTCCTTACTTGCTCAACTGTTTCACAACGGCAAAAGATTTTGGAATGAGGTACATGTACTGCTGTAAACATTTATAAAGGGCAAATAACAAGTCATAGTTTCGTGTCTATCTGCGTATTTTATGCCCAAGCTGTCTTTCTCATGTTATTAGACAAAATGTTGGTGCTATGTAAGGTAAAATCTCATGTTCTAGAGCTTGACCAGAAGGCTTGGGGCAGTAGCATGCCCAGTGCCATGCTGCAGCCAGAGTTCAGTGCTGTAAATAATTTTGAAATAATACTCCATCATTTTCGGTGTCACAACTTGCATTACAGAAAGATCAATTACGATGCTATCAAGTTAAAACAACGCTGGAAAATGGAAGGACTTGATGCCTGATGTTAAAATCTTTAAAACCCGCTGTTGTATTTCTTTCTATTACAGCCCAGAGATGGAAGCAAGGAGAGTCATTTGCCTCAGCTGGGGCGTGTGACACACAGCTCTGCCACGCAGCTGGCCGGATTTAGCTCCCGAATCCATCCCGCCTGCCTGCCGACGCAAAGTTTTAGGGAAACCCTGTCCTGGAGAGAAATGCTGGAAACTACAAGCCAAGACCTCCTTCTGCAGCATTACTGCACAAATAGTTTAAAACCCCTGCTCGGCGACGGCTGATAGCTTCATTTTTAGCATGGTTGGAAGCCCTTAAGAATGAAGGAGTTCCACCAAGGAACTCTCTCTCTTCGTTTCCTTTCTCTCTCTCTCTCTCTCTTTTTTTTTTTTTTTTTTTTTTAAATTTTCATTCTCCACAGGAATGCCCGTCAGCTGCTGCTGTCCAACACACCCAGGCCCCCCACCAAAACTTAATCTGGCACGGTTCCCTCCCCACCACCACGCACGGCTCTGGCGGCCAGCGCGGGGCGCGGACGGGCAATGCGGGCCCGCGCCACCCGAGCCCGGCATATCCCTGTGCCCGCCCGCCGGACCAGCACAGCACAGCATAGCATAGCACAGCACAGCACAGCACGGCACGGCACAGCACAGCACAGCATAGCACAGCATAGCACAGCACAGCCCGGCACGGCACTGCACGGCCCGGCACGGCACAGGACCGCGCCGCGCGCGCCCGCCGGCTTCCAGCCAGCCCCGCCAATCAGCGCGCGGCAGGAGCCTCCCGCGGCCGGGGCGGGGCTGGCGGCGCGCGCTCCCCAGGCCTGGCGACTCGATTGGCTGTTTTGCAGGCAAACCGCCCAATCGAAGAGTGCTTTGCAAAGGAGCCCCGAGCCTATCGCAGAGGCGGTTCCTGTTCCGCTCCGGCAGTTTGAAACCGTCGGGGCCGGCGGGGCGCAGCCGGGGCCCGCAGGTGAGCGGGGGGGCCGGGGCCGCGGCCGCGCCGTCCTTCCCACAGCACCCCTGCTCCTGCCCGGGGGCCGCACTGCCGCCCCCAACCCCACCCCGAGTTTCCTGAGGGTGCCAGCGGGCGCTCCCTGCCCACTGTTTGGGCTGGTTGCCTTGAAAGCCCTGTATCAGGAAAGCAAAGGAGAATCTCCTGTGTATAATCTGTCGTATTCGCGGCTGCCTGACCACCCCTGTGCCTCCCTGGTTTCTGTGGGACTCTCAGCGGATTGTCGCTGTTTGTCCCCGGCTGCCATGGCAGCCGCGGTGTCGGCGCTGCCGGCCCCGGGGGCAGCTGCGGAGCCGCTGTGGTGAGGAGTTAGAAGCGTGAGCAGCGCTGCCGTGCAAGGGGTACGGGTAAAGGGAAGGAATAGGTCTGGCCTCTACTGGCGGGAGGTGTGTCACTGGCAGTGTTCCCCAAGGCTCAGTACTGGGCCCAGAACTGTTTAGCTTGTTCATCCATGACATGGATGAAGGGGCAGATGCCTGCTCAGCAAATTCACTGAGAACACAAAGCTGGGAGGAATGGCAAACACTCTGGAGTGCTGTGAAGCCCTTCAGGGACCACGGCAGGTTGGAGAGATGGGCAGAGAAGAACCATCTGAAAGTCAACAAAGGCAAATGAAGGGTCCTGTACCTGGGGAGGAAGAGCCTCAGGCACCTGGGGCTGACCTGCTGGGAAGCAGCTCTGCAGAGAAGGACCTGCAGGTCCTGGTGGACAACAAGCTGTCCATGAACCAGCAGCGTGTCCTTGTGACCAAGAATGCCAACGGTATCCTGGGAGGCATTATGAAGAACATTGCCAGCAGGTCATGGAAGGTGATCCTGCCCCTGTACTCAGCCCTGCTGAGGCCTCACCTGGAGTGCTCACTCCAATTCTGGGCTCCTCAGGACAAGAGAGACATGGAGGTCCTGGAATGGGCGGGCAGAGGCTACAAAGATGATGAGGGAGCTTTTCCATAAGAGGAAAATCTGAGGGAGCTGAGCCTGTTCAGTCTCAGGAAGAGACAACTGAGAGGAGACCTCATCAATGTCTATAATTATCTGAAGGGAGAGTGCCAAGGCAATGGAGCCATGCTCTTCCCAGTGGTGCCAAGCAGTAGGACAAGAGGTAATGGGCAGAAACTGATGCACAGGAAGTTCCACCTGAATGTGAGGGGGAACTTCGATATTGTGCAGCTGACTATGTTCTGGAACTTCTGGATTGCTTAGAGAGATTGTGGAGTCTCTCTCATTGGAAATATTCAAAAACCACCTGGATGCAATCCTGTACCATGTGCTCTAGGATGACCTTGCTTAAGCAGGAGGTCTGGACTGGATGACCCACTGTGGTCTGTTCCGACCTTAGTAGTCAGGATCCATGATTTTCTTTCCTAGGTGTTTAGTCCTCTGATCTAAGTGAAACACTAAATTATTTGGAAAATATCACCTTTAGTTAAAAACAAAGCCAAACCCACAAAAACCTGAGCACAGCTTAATTAATTCAAAATTAAGGAGGAGAGCAACGATGCTGAGTCACACCAAGGTCTTTATAGTTGCATCCTGTTTCTTAAAAGTAGCTGTGTTACTACTGCAGTTGTATGCTTATGGTTTGGAAGAAACTGCTGCTGTTAGCAGCAATCTTTCTTTAATGAAGTCAGAAATACATTTTGGCAGATGCTCGGATCAGTTTAGAAGAACCTGGTAAGCTTGAGGATGTTCTTCTCACATGTCTTTCCCTTTAAAATGATTTGCAGCTTAGCAAATTAGCTTGTTGACCCAGAGGTGGTCTCTTAATATCCCTTGGTTTGTCTTTTAGGAACTTATCTGGTATTTTGTGCTACTTAGTGCTTGTTCACTGAGATCAAAGCTGACAAGTTATTCTTAGGCTGGCTTGGCTGAGCAGGGATCTTCTGAAGCTAAGGGAAAAAAGGAAAGCGTATGCCCAGTGGAAGCAAAGTCAGATTACATGGGAGGAATACAGAAACTCAGCTCTCCATGGCAGACAAGAAATTAATGTGGCCAGAGCTCAGTTAGACTTGAAGCTGTGGGGAACAGAAAAAGTAGTTTTTAAAAATATGTCGATAATAAAAGGCAGTCCAGAAATAACATGAGCCTGTTACATGATGAGGATGATCACCTTACAAACGGGGACAGAGACAAGGCAGAGATGAGTTCTTTGCTTCCATCTGCAACATTGATGCAGTCATCGATCACTGCCAGCATGGGTTCATGAGAAGAAGATTCTGCCTGAGAAACTTAATTCCCTTTTGTGGCAAGGTGACCCACGTACTTGATCAAGAGAAACCAGTTGATGTGATCTTTTTGGATTTCAGTAAAGCTTTTGGTACTCTCACAGTATCCTTCTGGAGAAAATGACCAGCACGCAGCTGGATAACACATTATGTAATGGGTGAGTAACTGGCTCATGAGGTGGGCACAGAGGGTTACGGTGAATAGGGACATAGGACCTGTCCCTAGGGCGTTCCACAGGGCTCTATCTTAGGCCTGGTGCTTTTCAACATCTCCTTAATTGACTTGGATGCAGGCATTGAGGTAAGTTTGACAATACTGAGTTAGGTAGGGCTGTTGATTTCCTCAAAGGCAGAAAAGCCACCTGGGACAGGGCGACCCTGGATGTAAGAACAAACTGGAAAATCAGAGGCTGGAAAACAGCCCCGCTGAAGTGGTCTGGTGAATCCTGATCAGTGGCAAGTTGCCCTGACAGCCAGGAGGGCCAATTGTGTCCTGCCGGGCATCAGGCCCAGCATCACCAGCCAGGCAAGGGAGGGGATTGTCCTGCTCTGCTCTGCACTGGGGCAGCCTCACCTCGAGTGCTGGGGGCAGTTCTGGGTGCCACAGTGTAAGAGAGAAATTCTGCTATTTGAGAGCATCCAAAGGAGGGCAGTGAAGATGGTAGAGGGCCTTTAGGGGAAGCTGTATGAGTGACTGAGCTCACTTTGCTTTGTCACTTGTGATGAAGGAACCTTCTGAGTTTTGGAAGACCAGAGAGTAGTTTCAGTGATAAATAGAGCGCTAGATCCACTTGATTGCTTGGAAGGGGCATGATCTTAAAGACCTGAAAACAGAATTCTGGACAGTGGTTTTAAGTTATTGAACAAACTTTTCAGTAAAAACCTTTCTTTTTGACTTCCTTGGACTTGTCTGTGTTCACATTGAACTCAATTTGCCATCCTATTTCTCAGAAAAATCAATAGATTAGTTCTTTTGAAGTGTACTGAGAAGGGAAGGTATTACAATATTTGGAACTTTTGGCTGCAAATACACATATAATTCCTGTAAGTGCTAGATAGTTGGTTCTTTGTGGTCTTCACTAATGCACGCACATCTTTGAATAGATCCACAGTTTTTAGAATAGTCAGGATCCACAATTTAAGAAACTATGTAGGAAAGCATATGAAGTTGAAGTTGACTTTTTAGAATTGAAGAAGTATTTTTTGGTATTGAAAGACTTTATCAGCTAAAAGAAGGTAGAGTGCTAGTATAGAGCTATTTCATTATGTAGAGAGGCTAAAACCAAGGATTTATATAAGGAATAATTAATGTGAGTGAGGAAAGAAGAAAATTATCAGACCAGGAAGCAATGAAAAAGGTGGAGCTGACAAAGGTAGTATTTCTTCTGTCATTTGCACATAGATATACAGGAATAAAAAGTACAAAGTAAACCTTCATTAGACTGCATTTTTTGTACTTTAAAAATGTCGTTGGTATATGAGGGCTCAGCAAGAGGTAGGAAGGTGGTAATCACGTCTTTTGAACCTTGAGCTACAGGAAATCTCAGCATTTGAAACTGTCTTTATACTGTTTTTTAAACATCCATTGTTGGCACAGAAATGAACTTCTGAAAGGTGTAAAAATATCCATGGCAAAGAGATCTATTGTGGTGCAGGAAGAATCAGTATATAGAACAGCTCAGAGAGCAAAAGGATAATTAATTTATATCTGTATTCCTATGTGGGGGGTTTGATACTTTGAGAAACATTGATGGTGTTTAAGTAGGATATTCCTGCCAGTTTTATGACAGTACAACTAACAATTTAAAATTTACATTTCTGTCAGAAAATGCATCTGTTTAAAAAACAAGAGTATTATAATTGACAGTTGTAAAGATCTCTCTAAAAATAAATTTTCCTTGCAAGTTGTTTGCTGCATTGTACAGTCAGTCAGTTCCTCTGGTTATTTATGGTGATATGCCTTCTCTCCTGACAACTCCTTAGTCAGTGTGTCTAATTGTCTTTCATATGCGTCAGGCACCTATATCACACTGCCATTCATTCATTAACAAACTCACCTTGCTTTATACTCAGTTTCCCCTCCTTTTGTAATTCCTTGCATCATTCCCTCTCCTGCCATATCCTTTAGAGCGCTTTTCCCTTTATTCTGTCAAATCTCATCACAAGAGCTTCACTTCTTCACTGAAGGACCTATAAAAAGCTGTAGTAGATTAAAAGATACATATAACTTTCACGAGGTCTTCAAGCTTCTTATCAATTCTTCAACATTGCCTACTTCCCAAGTAGTCAAAGAATGCCTTACTGTCTTGCTAAGAAGTTGCTGGAATGATTGATACTTATTGAACCTAAGTTATTACTTGTCCTTCCATATCTGTTCATCTTCCTGGACCTGAAACTCAAAAAAGTGACGGGAGACTGATGTTGACCAGTAAGATTCAGGGTATTGAAAAGGAGTGTTCAGGGTACTATCTTATCTTGGGCTTTGGTTGAGGTCGTGTAGTGGGTGGGCACAGTGTAGCTTATAAATTCTTATGTTGCTCTGTAGGAATTTTGTACTGAAACACCCTGATAAACTAAAAGGCAATACCTTGTGAATAAAAATGAGAGACTGACACAGGAATATGTCTGTAACTGCAACAACTGACATTGTTGCTTTGTTTTCTTATAAGATTGTGAAAATATTTCCATTATTTTGAGTATGGATCAGACAGTTTCCAGCATTATATTGTGAGACTGTTCAGTCAGTTTAGTGCAGAGAAGGGCATTGATCCAGTTGTTACAGCAGAATCTGTTTCTGGGGAAAATGTTGATGAATATATGTTTACGTACTGAAACTGAAAAATGAAGTTCAGCTTCTACTGTTTTATAGACTTACTTTGTGCAGAATGTCATCTGATGAGGAGAAAAGCACAAGTCCAGTTTTCCCAAATGACTTTGTTCAGGACAGTTCTCTTTCTTCAGATGCTCAGGTAGGACAGAGGCAATATAATTTGATTTACTGTCATGGCATTTTATTTGGCGAACAATAACTATGAGGAAATCTAATTAAATGTGCATATTTTTTGTATTTTACATATACAGGAAAATAATAAAAATATTAGTGAAAAGAAACAAAGTAGACTGCAAAAAATGCTGATACTAAAATATGTTCAGTTATATTCTACTTCTGTGCATTTCACAAGAAATTTATGTAAAAATTATTACCTGAACTGTAGTGTTTGATCAGCTGCAAGTAAAATAGGTCATTTTCTTACCGTTTTTTTCCCTAGTGTTAGTGTTTATTTGTGTTAAGTCTTATCAAGAAGCCAGAATTTGACACAGTAGGATAGAAACCCATAACTTGTGAGAGATGAAGAGTAACTATATTTTAGGCTTTCACTATGATTCAGTTTTGTAAAAACTGATTTTTTTAATGGATTTATTTCCTCTGGAGTAGTATTATGCCCAAGTTTATCACAGAATTGCTTTTTGTTTTGTTTTGGTGGGGTTTTTTTGTTTTTTTTTACTTTCTGCATCAAATACATTAAGACATTCTGTAACTGTAATACTGGAGGTTGCCTCTTCTGTGCTCATCATGCTTTCAAGAGGATGCAATGATACTGGATTAAGTCTTTGTACCATTCTTTTGAAAGCAGCAGATTTTCATAATTTAATAATTAGTTATTCCTGTTTGCATAGTAGATTGTGTGGCTTTTTCCTTTGGTAGGGTACAGTCCAAGCCAGGATAGTTTTGGTAATAACATGTTTTGCTAGTTGCCTGGTAGAAGTGCATCTCCACATTTGTCACGTGGTGAAATGGGCATATCAGCAGCAGCACTGTTGAAGGGGTTTTCTTCTTTCTTTTTTTTTACCATTTGGATTGACTTCTACTTTTTAAACAACATTTTATGGGGCAGTTCATTTCTGCAGTTCATGTACTTCTCTATTTGTGCTTGTATCTCATGGATAAGTTTTCATAATCTTTGTTTAGGAATAGTAATGCATCTGTGTTTCCAATGCTTTTTGTAGTCAGAGAAGAAAAAAAAAAAAGCATCATGCTACAAATTTTGAAGGACCAGAATTTTCTGTTATGAGCTGGTTGATAATCAAGGAGCTGTAAGGCCACCTGGTAGAGAATGATACAATTATACTAAGAGCAACTCTTTTGTGAATGAGAACGTGTTTAGAGAAGAATAATTCCAGTTGGAGGTGATCTACATCAGTCGTTGGCCAAACCGCTGTTTTGGGGCTGAGCAAAAGTTAAAGCACGTTATTAGAGGACATTGTTCAAATGCCTCTTAAAGGGTGACATGCGGGTGGCATCAAACGCTCTCCCTAGGGCGTGAAGCCCATTCCAGTGTTTGGTTGCCTACTCAGTAAAGAAATGCTCCCTAATGTCAAATCTGATCCTCCCCAACACAATTTTGAAGCATTCCCACTTATTCCATCGCTGGGTCCCAGGGAGATGAGATGGACATCTCTTCTCACTTCCCCTGCTCAGCAAGCTGTACAGAGCAACGAGGCCTCTCAGCCTCCTTTTCTCCAAACTAGACAAGCCCAAAGCTACCCCTGGTAGGAGTTTGCTGCTGTTGAAAAAGAACAACACTGAGGTCACAGCTGATCAACAGGAATGTTGACAGGGAAGTGCTCTACTCCATTTAGATAATTTTGGAAGGTCTGTTCTGTTTTGTTTGTTTGGGCCTTTTTGATAATGTGTTGCTTTTAGCTAGAGACCAGCTTATTACTTTTTCTTTACAAAGACATCCACTGTCTCTTAGAGAATTTCCATTACTTATAATTATTACTTATAATATTTCCATACCTATTACTTTATCCATTCAATCTATTCTTGTTATATTGTCTAATTACCTTGACTACAATCCTCTGCAGTGTCTGTAGATTTTTATTTTAAAAATAGAAAAAAATTATCAAGAAAAGCATCTGGTTTTTTTTGGTGCCATTTGTTCATTGCATCACTACATTTTCTTTTACAAAATCACGGCATTAAATAGTCAAAACTCCACAGACTTCAGGTCATAGAATTATATTCCTATAGTTTTATACATGAATAGAATTGTTTGCAGTTGACGAAACAGCTTGAAAGTTCTGTTTAAAGCAGAACCACAATAATAAACCAAAGACATATTGTTAAATTTATTATGGTTTTATTTTAAATGTACTGGTCAATATTGCATTCCAGTTGCAGCATACTTGTTATGGAGTATTTAATATGGAGGTAATATACTTAATCATTCAGTGTTTCCATACATATTCCCACTGCTGTCTCCAGGATTTTTTTTTCCCATGTGTCTTAAGTTTCTGATTACAACTGGGATACTGTGCTTTCTTTAATATTTGCCTTTCAACTTCATTCCAACAGTGTTGTAATATTGTAATTTATAAACATTTATTTCCAGATTTGTCACTGGATGCTGTCTATTGACACTTTCTGTTGGCGCGTAAGCGTGCGTATTCCTGTACAGATTGGATTCTTTGAGTTTGAATAAAAGAATTAGAACATGAAATAAATTTCCTGACGTAACTTGATATGCATATTTTGAATGCTAGGCATGACTATAATAGGACATATTGCATGATAATGAATAAGTTGGGTGACTCAACGTGAGACACCCACTTGCATCTGACATCTAGCCTCCTAGGTCCTTTGAACTGACTGACATAATCATGGAAGCAGCTGGATCAGCTCTGTCTGAGAACTAACTTGTTTGTTGGGAAGAATTAAATTGCTATTTGGTTACATGATGTCTTATAAGAAGACAGAGGTTTGATCTAACATCTGCAGAATCACTGAATTTTTATTAGTTAAGGCTAATATTGGCTTTTTTACTCAGCTGAGATTTTGCTGCAGGGAGTTTTGTATGGTTCCATGTAGTTCCTGATTGAGTAACAGATCTAAAGGTATCTGTTTTCTTCTTTTGATATCTTATAAAATTTAAACTGTATATATTTAGAAAGATATGGCTGTGGAAAAATTGATAGCTTGTTGATTTGAAGCTAACTATACCTTTTACATGGATTGTGACACACTTGCATGTCCAAAAGATACATTGTGTATTCATAATTCTGTAGCTTCATATACATTTACTTTGAAGGTGATAGATTAGAAGATGGGAAATAGACATTTAAATGGAAACTAGAATTCAGATTAAATGTACCAAACCTAGCTTCTTAAATTCTCTAATTAGTTGAAACACACAAAAATATACAAGTTACACTGGGTGTTTTGAAGTATTATCCTTCTCAGTTGTTAGATTCAAAAACATATTGCATGTAATTGGTACCTTTCATTGACTGTTTTCACTCTAACTTCCCCCAGGTTTAAGTGGAAATTAATTTTTGAATTCACACTTGGTTTCTGAGGTTTGACCTCATTAGGATACTGAACAGAACTAATGTGATAATACTAAGTGAAGAAAAAATAACTGCTAGTGACCTGGTTTAGTATTTTCCAATGGGCATTGTTTTCCAAATCTTTAATTAGTAGATTTTATTTGTTTTAGTAAGCAACTGTTTTACTAAAATAAGTTTTACTAAAACTTTTTTTTAGTAAGCAGTTGTTTAATTAATTACTAGATTGTATGTTTAAGCTATAATACAGATTGTTTATGGTTTCACAATGAACTCTGAATACTTTCATCCTGAAAATCTGTTTCATCAGGAGGTTTAAAAACAAATTGACTTAGTTTGGTGTGTAGCATAATGTCACATACCAGTTAGATAGGTTTATAGCTTCTTAATAGGAAAGCTGCTTTCTAAGTTATATGTACATATTCCTTATAGCTGTATAATTTTAAGAATAAATAATATAAGGTGAGAATAATTATATCCACTCAAAACTGTGTATAATCAAATCTCTTTTGATGATTGGCTTTACAACTTCCACCAAGGAAATTGTAATGATACAGAGTGTGAAGTGTGACTGTGTTCAGCAGCATCTTTGTCATGGCTATAAAAATACATGTTTTTCTTTGAAGCACTAGTAGTAGTGATTAGAAATAATAATGGCCGATTAATAACTTACATGATCAGGGACTGGAGTTTTTTACCAGTTCTTATTTTAGATGCCTATTATAGTATCCAATGCTGGAATCTCACAGAGTCTTTCTGTGCAACTATTACAGTGCATATAGTTGTAATCAGAAGGAATGTGAACATTAAACAAGAGAAAGTTAAATTATTATAGTCACTGTAGGAAAATAGCTCACTTTTGCAGCTTTAGGGGAAATCCCCTTATTTAGACCATAATAATAAAAAAGACACCTCTCAAAATGACAGAAAATAATATGCAATTCTTTTTACATATGTTTAATTTTTAAAAATGTAGTTGTAGTTTTATAATTCTTTGTCACCACTTTGCAACAGGATGAATATGAAGAGCTGTTTCGTTATACTGCAATGAGTCCGAAGTTTGAGCAGTGTGTCTCAAAGTTGCCAGAACCTGCCTCAGAACAGAGACCACCTGAAAGAGTTTCCAGGTTAACAGATTATGCCAGTCACCATTATACTCCAGGTAGTATGCCCAAGGCTATGTGTTGAGCTTACAAGAATAATGACACAACTTTGATGACTTAAATTTTTTAATAGCTTTAGTTTGAAAAATACATGTACCTCATTTGTAGTACATTTGCATTTTGCACAACAAGAAACATAGGAAGGCATATTCCCTGAAGCGTTCTCTCTCTGGCATCACTTTCAGATGACAGTGTTGATGTGCTTACAGTACTTTGTGTTTTGTGGTGCAGATGTTTAAAGGTGATTGGTGTAATAACAGAAAAAGGGATACCCTTACAGTATACTTCATTGAAATTTGATGGGTCACAGCTGGTTTGCTCAAACTGGTATGGTTGTGATAGAGAAATACATATAGAAACAATGATTCAATGTAAAGGAGGATTGCCTTAAAAGGGCTTTGTGTAGTGTTGAATCATGTCACTACATGAATGTCATTCTTACTTTTTTAGTTTAATCCTTTTATTCTACTTTTAATTTATTGCTTGGTATTTTATTTATCCATGTTACTGATGCATCACAAGACACTAAACTTAGTGTCTTGTGATGCATTAGTAACACGGATATTTTTGATTGTGTTGTTTGCTTCTGTCACTAGTGTTTAGATTGAGAATTTTGCTTTGCTGTTAATTTTGCTTCAGAAGAAATAGTAAACAAATACACCTGCATTATTTCTTTGCTAGGAAGTTAAGCATAATCAGAAAAAACGGACTTTAAACAAACTTCTATTCTTTATCATTCTATTTAATTACAAAAATATTTAGCTGTCTTTATGTCTTCACTTTTATAACCTTTATGGATGGCTTTATGTCTACTGTTTAGAGAAGCAAGTGACATATTTATACCTTCCAATTTGGAAGTTTGGTCAATACTATTTTTTTTAAGTCTTTAGATTCTAAAGCAATGGCTAGACAATCTGTGTGGAAGGATTAGGGCTGCAGAGGCTAGCAAGTGGTAGGTGATGACAGCGGCATAATGACCTTTAGCCCTTCTGTCCATCATATCTTGACTCCGTCCTGCTCTCGCCTTGAACTCATGGCACACTTCTAGGATACAGGAGGCCTTAGCACGAGCTGTGAGTTAGCCAAAATCTGAGCAGGACTTAGGTGAACAGTTACAGCACAAGCAGAATGTCTGCAGGACACAGATCACAGTGCAGCTGTGACTCCTGTTGCCAGTCTCTGTATATGAACTTATCATGACACAAGCTGTCCCCAGTTGCTGTGACAGTTTGTCTGGTTAAAGCCAGCTCAAGTCTATTGATATGTTGAAATTTCATTTTGCTCGTTGCTTAGTTTTTATACGTGCTGGCTCAAGCCATGCTTGTCTGGGTAGCACAGAAATGTGTTCAGCATTCACAGGTAACTGTTAAGGCCACTTACACAACCAGTTGATCCTCTCAACTGGTGCAGCCTTTTGTGAGAAACAAAAGCCACCCAGAGCCCTTCCTGTGTTGAGATAACTTCAGCTTCCTTTAAAACAGCTGTGATCGCTCCCTGTATTCTTCCCAGAGCTCCATGAGCAGAGTACTTATCTCCTCTGGATGTTCTTCCATTGTTGATCAGTCACATTATAAGTCACCCATTGTCAGGATTCAAGTACACTTGCAAAACTCTTGATTTGTAGAGCAGTTAATGTCAGCTGCTGGAACTGTTTCTCAACCTGAGCTGATGTTCTTAAAACAGTAGAAAATTTCGAACCCAGCTATGTGGAACTATATTATGGAGCATAATAATTCTAATTTGGGTATTGTCCTCAGTGCTCTGTGCTTAGAGTTTTGTCTCCCAGATTGAGTGGAATATTGTTTTCCAAGGGATTTTTTTGTGACGTATAATACTGCTGTTCATAAGAAAGAATATCAAAATCAAAGCACTAGACACTTGTGCTTTTTTGGTACATGACTGTATACTCTATTTTCTGTCATATTGTCTGAAGAGAAAATTGTAGCCAGCCACCCAGTCTCCTGTCTCTCTGTAACTCTTTCGGGTTGTGCTCCTTCTTTTTAATTTTTTTTCTGGGCTTTTCATGCAAATCCAAATGTATTGGGTTTGCATGGCCAAACTTTAGTAGTGAGGGTGCTACAGGGGTGCCTTCTGTGAAAAGCTGCCAGAAGCTCAGCCAATGTCAAACAACTTCATGGGGCTAATTATGCAAACATGTAGTCTGTCAGGTCTTTGTTCCTTTTTATGGCCATAGAAGTGAGAGGACAAAATTCTATTTCCTTGGTTGCTTCTCCTGAAATATTTGAAGAGTGTTATCTTTTAATATGCCTGGTGTTATCAAATTATAATAGTCATTTGCAAGCTCTTGTTAATTGTCATGGAACAGGGAAAAGAAATAATCTTATACTTGATGGTGATCAAAATTTTGCATTGTAGTTCTCATTAAAAGAGTTGTATTGCTCGTTACAAGGAACCACTCAGATATTTATTATCCTTGCAAAAGGCAGCACCCTGCAAAATAACTTTGTCTGTTATTTTCAAAATGGGGAAAAAAGTGATTAAAGACAGTAAAAAATGTGCTTATGAACTTCCCAGAGAACACAAGAGACAAGAAGAATATTTACACAGACCTATTCTGCTTCTGTCAATTAAAATGCTATAAACAAGTTTCCTTTGCTTTGCTACTTTATCAAAATATGTTTGCTGTTCAAAATATCACTATGTCTTCTCAGTCTGGGAGAGAGATGGGTCATACCTTCTAGAGATAGAGCTGGAAACAATCTAGTTGTAAAAAGGTTATTTCAACTTCTAGAAAGAGATCTGATCAAAATCTTGAACTCTTCTGTGTAATCACTACTATTGATTGATGGTGATTACGTATTAAAGTAGTGTTGGCCACAGTGTTAATGCCCTCAGAATATCTTCTTTTTTTCATGATGGTAATAACATGACTTTGAATGAACAGTGAGAAAACTGTTAAGTTCAAGATTAATACTATACCTCTAATGCTTAAATTCAAGCTTAATAGTCTGCCTCTAATGCTGATCCGGTGGGATTGTTTACCAGGCTTTTTCCTGAAGGACAATTAACTTTTTTGTTAAACTCCATTCTTTTGGCACTGCTTGCTTGCTCACACTAAAAATCAGGCTTTTTGAAATTTGGCTCTAATGCTGCTACTATGTTAAAAGAACTAAATCATAAATTATTAGGTTAGTGTTCTATAACTGTAAAACAAAATGAATGAATGAATGTACTGAGCATGGAGTTAAAATCTGAAAGTTTGCTCTTCTGCAGAGCTTCTCAAGTTTACAATGTATTTTCCCCTTCTCCATATGATGGTATTGGGACCAATAGAGTTTCCAATGCCATGTGATGCCTTCTGAAATGAATTTCTGGTTATGAAGTGTTCTTTGGTCTGGATGCTACCTTTATGGTTGTAGAATTCTGATTACTGGTAATCTCTATTCGTTGCAGAAAATTTAAGTATACATGGTATCTTCCCTAACAGCTTTCAGTCAAATAAGAAAAGTAATTTGAATAAACATGCTCTACTATTCAATTCAGTTCGATGTCCAAGTGTTTTTAAACTTTGAAGCATAAAACTTCATTTCCTGTTCTTGTTATCAGTTTACTTGATTAAATTTGAAAATTACTAAGACTGGAGCAGTAAAATATTTGTTGCAGAGATGTGCAATGATGACTCATACCAAAGAGTGGAAAAAATCCTTCTCTTTGAGCCTGCCAGTCCTCAGTATATATCCATTAAACTTCTTAGCACATTTTAGCAAATTACTGTGCTCAGCTTGGGCCATTAATAACATGTAATGTGGGAGAGCAGTGTCAGAGCTTATTTACTTAATAAAAGCAGAAAAAGTCAGATACTAGAACACAGAAAAGCTCAACAGTAGTAACAGACATCTGGATAAACAGCTAATTTCATTACCTCCATCTAGAGATTTGTTGCAGTAAATGCATGCAGAGATTATTTAATAAAGTACATTTATATACTTATCATATCCAAATGGTTCCAGTATCATTGATACCTCAGCACACTGTAACTGAATGACATCATATAATTCTATGGAAGGAATAGAGGTGACAGAAGGAGACCATTAGAAATAAGAATTAAATTAGTATGTGTACAACTAGAAAATTATGGCAATGCTGGAAGGCCAAGATGAATTTCATAAGATGATGTTATAAACATGTAACAGATACACATGGTGGATTCAGTGAAGATATACATCCTATGGTAAATGAGAGAAATGAAAGCTGTGTTAGTATAATCTGTTCATAGGGAGAATTAAGGGGAAGGGAGTGATGAACTAGTAATACTGCGATTCTCACACTATGGCAGTTGTCAGTCTATTTTAATATCCTGCTTTGATTGGTTATATTTTGTTCTGTTGGGTATTGTTTTTTGGGTTTTCTTTGGAAAGTATCTTACAAACCGTGTTGTGTAAGATACCTTTGTAATCTAATCAAGTAGTAGAAGTTTAAAAATAAAAACAAAGCCTCATGCCTTTCATGTCACAACTGAAGGAAGGAGGGACATGCAAGAATAAGGAAAAGTGGTGAAGATCAGAACGGTGAATATTTGACAATAGTCACAGTGCCAGATAATTTTATTGTCAGATGCCAGCCAGATTCTTCATCACAGAAATTAGATGTATTTTAAGTACTCTGGATCATCTGTCTGGCATGTCACGTAATTTGGACATTTTTACAAGCAACAAGTATTCAAATTCTGCCACTATAGCAATACTTCTGTCATTTTCAAGAGAATCAATGACAAAAAACTAAAGCCTGATTTTAATATACTCTGTGATGGGAATAATCTCTTTATGCCTCTGTAATAGGGTACAACAGTCTATAGAAATGGTGTTAGATAGCACTCCTTTAGCTCTAGCTGGTGTTAATTTTATGATGTGTGGTTGTGTATTACCTTGAGAGAAATATCAATTTCCTCATTATTTCCCTTTTGTTTTAGAGCATGAGCGTAGTAGTTTTGTGGCAGGGAATATTAGCCAGACAGCTCTTCTCATTTCCTTAGGAAAGAAAACCTAACAGTAAAAATAACTGTAAAAGAATATCAACCATCAGGCTCTGCCTTAAATAAATTAGAAACACACTTTTCTAGTGTCCACTGAAGATAGTGCTTTGTGACAGATAAGCTTATCGCTTCTAGGTTGAATCAAAAAATAGTATCCATCAGACAATACTTGTTTTCAGAAGTGAAGACTAAAATTTGGAGGTTTTCTCTGTTTATGAACTTTTTTGAAGTTGTTTGTTGTTATTAGCAGGAATCTGCTAATACCTCTTCTAATTTTCTTTTATTCAGTTGTCAACTGATACAACTATTTTTCTGTAAGGAATAACTAAATATAAAACAGTATTTTACTTCCCAAGTTTACTTAAATATTGACTTTATTCTCAGCTCAAATGCATGCAAACTAGCTTTTGGGCAGGGATTAACTTTTCTTGCAGTGGAACCTAGCCACAGCTCCTGAAGGTGAGGATTTCTTGTATAAGGCATTATATAAATTCATGGTAGATACATCCTTTCTCAAATTGTTTGAACACTAATCAGATGAACAAATTTAAGGTTTTAAGAAAAATGGATGCAGGTACATATAAATATCAAAATATATCCACAGGTTACTTTGTGAATTTGTAAAGGAACACCACAGACCTCAGGTGTTTACAGGCTCATTGAGAAAAAAAACAGAAGTTAGTAGATTGTTGACCTGAGTTGTTAATTGTCAAGAAGCTTTTATTTATACAGCCTTGTTCTTTCTGGCTGTATTTTTAGTCCTTGCTGTGATAATTCTCTTTCAAATTAAGATACTGTATTATTAAGATACTGTATTTTAAGGGAGCACTACTTTTGAATTTACTAATGTTACAATAGGGTTGTCAGTTTAAATATGTGTGTCCAGGAAGCATGTATTAGAATTGGATTGGTTTTTCTTACGTGGGGAAAGGATGTTTCTGATGTCATAAATATTTTGTTTCCTTTTACCAGTGTCTGTCTTCTGACTTCCACCTACAGTGTGGACCAGTGAGCCTTTCCAGAGTGTCAGTTCTTATTCTCTTGTTTCATTTTCAGTCTCAACATCAGTGAAGCAGGCTGGTATGGAACAACCTACTCTTCCAGAAGCAACTTCTTCCACACATAGTCCAAGAGAAGTCAGCAAAACCACGGTGACTGAATTAACTTTACCAGATGGAAAAGTCACTCAGATAGAAAACATAGTTGATCTCTGGAGTGGAAATCTTAAGGTATTTATATTGTATGAAATCCTTAAAAATCATTCACAGATATCATTGCTTTGTAGAGTTAGTGCAGGATATTGCAGTGTGATTGCTGGGAGAATGGTATTTTGTTGCATATTGCATATAAGCATATGTAGCACAGACTATCGTTTTTCAGAAACTTTGGAATAACTGTCTCCATTAGGAATGTTCAGATATCATGATTCAATAGTTAATTGTGTCTGGTAATACAGCACTACACAGCTTGTATAATGAAGGTATCACTGCAAATATTTGTGTCTCCTTAATTGCTAAGTGTTTTAAGATAAAAATAATAGAGAGGAGGGAATAGTTTAAACTCATTGCATTACTGTCATTTCTTTACCTTTTCAGACAAATATTCTGACTGAACTGAAAAACTGGGAACTTAATTTGATTCAACATCACAAGCTTCAAATGAAACAAGAGAAAGAGAAACATGCCACGCAAGTGAAACAACTGCAGAATGAGATGGAAAACCTGAAAGAGTTACTTCATACTTATGAAATCTCTATTAGCAGGAAAGATGAGGTAGTAACTCCATTTCATATATTAACAGATCCTCTTTGTTTAAAAATATCTACACTAAATTTTTTGGTCCATCACTTTGAATAACATTTTTTTTTAGGCAAGTAACATAGAGACATAAATAATACATTCAGACAGTATAATAGAAAAATAATAATGGTTGGTAATAGAGTTGTCTATATTAAGAATGAAAACACATCATATGTGCATACTTTGCATTCTTTGCTTCTTAAATCTAGAATCTACTCTTGTTTCTCATTTATTTAATGAAGATCACACAGGCATAGGTGAGTCTATTAGCTCTTACGCTTCAAAAGCCTCTAAATTTTCAAATATTAGATTAGTTTTCCTCAATTGAAATGGGCAGCAGTCTCATAAAGTTGAGAAGCCTCTATTTTAAGATTCTTAGGAATTCTACATTTGTACATATTCATAAGATTGGACATTTGGACTCTCTGGTTTACACTTTCCTGCTGGCAACAGTGCAAATAACTTGAAAATTAACCAGAACTGTGAAAGCGGATATAAAATCTTGGCAGTTTTACAATCACACAACATAATTGAGTCTTCTTACTGCTACCCTGAACATATAACCTAGTACTTGAGAACGCTAAATGGAGTTTGGGTTTCTAAATCCTACTTATATTAAAAAAAAACATACATTACAGGAGTTAAAATGTGAATGTATATGGTGTTCTCTGTCCATTTGGAAAACAGACTAATCTTACAGAGCAAGCAAATATAAATGTTGTAACATTATAGTAACTGGATTAGTCTTGTACCATGTAACTAGTACCTTGTGCATGGTTATTTCAGCCTATACCTTTCAAACATCTAATTCTGTTGAATATCATTGTATGTCAGTCATATTTAATGTGCCATAATTCTCAATGGTACTTTGAAAGCCCTATTTTGTTTTCTGCTGCTAAAGAAATTATTTCTTCAGCCAATTTTATAGTTCTGCTTCTAAGGAAAAAAAAAAAAAAAAAAAAAAAAAAACCCAAATATTTGAATAGAAAATTACTATTGTTGCTGCCTGAATGGAAGGTGGCAGTGCTTTCATGCTTCTGCATATCATTCCATAGTTATGAAATCTGCTGTATCCTGATATGGACATAAACCAAGGTCCATCAGCCTCACAAATAGTACAAGTATTAGATTCTTATTTCACATTGTAAATCTTAAATGCTTTTCATTTGCAAAAATATGCTAATTAACAAAAACAGACTTAGGCTAAGACTTCTAGTGTGTAGCAGTATGTATGCAGCTTTGAAATTTGATTTTTATGACACTTTTTCAACAAAAGTAATTAATATATCAATTTAATTTGTTTTCTTTTTTATTTCAGTTATCATTCATTAAATTGATGCACGTTCAATAATTATTACTTGTAATAAATGCAATATAATGTTAACATATGCTAGCATGTATTGTCATAAAATACTGTTCTCAACAATATTTATGAAGAGTTAAAATAACTGCATTATTCCCCAAAGTCCCAAGATAGGTCACTGTTGACCACTGAAGTTGCTCATACATGGCTAATGGCAGGATCTAGCTTAAGAAGTTAGGCAGAAGTAGGGAGTAATATTCAGATTTGGTCTAGCAAATTTGCATCATACCTGTCTTAATTTTTAGTTGGGGAACCTCAGCTATTACTCATTAAATTTAGAGATTGCTGGTAGAAATCCCCAGTTGAAGTCTCTGTCCAGTAGGACATCCTGCCTCTCAAATGTATATAGTATCTTTCATGAGAACTTCTAAAGAGAGTAACAATTTCTAATAAGGTTTTTCTGGTTTATAGCAACTACTTAGCTTGTTTATTCTGTTCAGACAAGTGAAACAAACTTCTAATATAAATGGTTTTGATTTATTAAAATTCTCTTTGAAATAAGAGGTTCTTCTGATGTTAAGTTACGGTAACATTTAATTACGAGAAGGTAGCTCAGAAACCACCAAATGTAGGAGAAAATAACAATTCAGTTGAACTTTTCCTAAAATTACGCAATGGAAGTGCCACAACCTGAGTGTCAAAGCCACAGGAATTTTACTTTTCATTTGAACTCTGATTATTGCTTCTTACTTGATTACAGTGAGGGGAAGTTTCAATAGAAAGCATCTGTTAAAAGCAAGTGCTTTAAGTGAAATAACTGAGACATAAAGACATTCTCTTTGATCTTACAGTGATCATAGATACTGAAATAGTGTTAATGAATATTTTTGCAGGTAATTACAAACTTGACCCAAGCATTAGAAAAGCAAAAGGAGAGAGTAGTGTTGATGAGAAAGTTTACACTGTGGCGGATTCAGCATGTTAAAGCCAAACAAGAGGTATGTGCACAAAGTCAAAATGCAGTGAAAATTGAACTCCAAAGAATCAGAGCTGCTGCAGTTCCTGTTACAGTTTGAAGAAATCATGGTGTTTCTGTTTTGATGTGTTTGACAATGTCAAATAACAGTTTGAAAATATCAGTTCTAAAAGGAATGTTTCTGTCAGAATGCTCTCTGGAATGGGAAAAAAACTGTTGTCTGCTGACTATTTTGAAATACAGAGTTGTTTTAAAGTAGTTTTTAAACAATCCTGAAGTCTAAATTTATTCAAAAGGTAAGTGTTTTACGGTAACTATCTGCAATCTTTGTGACTGCAGGTTTTATATGATTCCTGCAGTGAATCCAAATGTGCCACATACCCAACAAATGGCTTCATATGTCTCTTTACACTGTGTATGTGAGGTTGTTTTTTGAGTGTCTTTAAACAAAGAATAACACCACTGTTGCGTGTGGCCTAGGAGTTCACAATACGGTTTCTCATGGTGAGGACAGTAATGCGCCATGGCATGTGTGCAGAGGCAACTCTGAGCTGCTGACGCTGCTTGTGTAACACTTCACTGCAGGAACTTAACTTAAGGGGTTCCTGTGGTGGTCTGTGTAATAAGCTGTAAAACAATCATCCACAGTAGAGTACTGAACTTCTTAGCAACTCTCAACTTTTGTGTGATGTGGTTGTATTTACTTCCTAAGGAATATGCAATTAGAATGGCAGATACACATTTCCAAACAGCTTTGATGAAGAAAGTGTGGGCTGCATGGCGCTCTGTTAGTGAAGGAAGATGGAAAGACAAAGTAGCAAGAGCCTGTCAGTTAAGGGCAGAAGATGTGTGTGTTCAGCTCACCAATGATTATGAAGAGAAAATTGCAGAGGTAAAATCAATTTTTCTTTCCTTCTTTTGCTCCTTGACTCCCATCCCCTGTTCCTCCAAAGTATGTCTTGCTCAACAAACCTAACAAACATGAGTATTTTCAAGTAGAAGAGAGCTCCCAAGTATGCAAGAAGATCTGAATGGATCTAAGATCTGTTATGATTTTAGACATGCCTATTTTTCCCTGCATCTGATAGAAAATGTTGCCAATCAGAAGGCACAGGTGAAATAAATTGTATTTTCCTCAAATAAGGCAAATATTTGTTTGCCTACTAATGGGAATGCCATTTGTTTTCTAACAGCATTCTGTTAGTATGGGCTATGCATTTTGAGGTCTTAATGAAGGAGACAATGGAAATAGAAGACCATTATTTCTTTGAATGATCATGATGAGTACAATATTTTTTTTCAGTAATAGCTATTCTGTTAAAGGCTGAAATTAAGTTTGATTTTTCTTTAGCTCACTAAATAAGTTTGTTAAAGAATTTTCAGAGCTTAAGGTGAAATTGTCAACCTGTGCATTGGTGTGTACTAAGTAATCAGTTTTAAAATATTACTTTCAAGAGCTTTGTATTTCAGCAAGAAATTGAACCTAGAATTTTAAGAATAGGATTTCCAAATGTGTCTTAACAGCACAAAAACCATAAGTAGCAACTTGCTCTGATATTTTCTCAGCATTTTTAGTTTTTTACAGTATCTAGAGAAGTGAGACTGGTGATGAAAATTTACCCTTAAATAATTTTCAGAGAAGACTTACTCTTCTGTTGAATGAACCCATGTTTCTGCAGAGATCTGGGTTGTGCCAGATGCCAGCTTCTAAAAGACAAAAGCTTGCAAGATATATTTCTGCTTAGGTAGAGTCTGACAGTCCTTTTGAATAGTCTTGTCCTTGATATGCTCTATTATTAATATTGCGCTGTGTTACAACAAAACTGAGCTGTTCATCTCTAGTGAAGCAGAGATTTTCAAGTGAAAATCTCTATCTTTCTAAATATAGTAAATTATTTTTAAAGTTAATTGATTAGTGTGTTTGTAGTTTGCATTGAGAAGTAAGAGAGACCTGTTTCCTCTTTCTGTTCCGTAGTTAACTGCTGCTTTGGAACTGACAAGAGCTGAGATTCTGCGACTGCATGCTGAAAGAGATCATTATGAAGACACCATGAAGAAAGCCTTTATGCGTGGTGTATGTGCTTTGAATCTGGAAGCCATGACTATGTTTCAAAGCAAGGACAATAGCCCAGATCCTGGTTAGTATGAGCAGCTTGTTTAATCTGCTAGTGTGTGTGCATTTTTGTTGGATTTGTTTGGGAATTTTTGTTTGTTTTTTTCAATGGAGTTCCTTTTCTCTTTTTTTTTTTTTTTTTAATTTGAGATTTTTTGGCAATACAGAGTTTATTAAACTTTTATTGCTTTAATACGTCCTGTTGAAAATGTTGAGAAGTACTCCGATGCTGGACTTCATACTGCTGTACCTGAACGAAGAACATGTTCTCTTTATCCCACATTGCTGGGAGAATGGTAGCCTGCAGCTGAAGGCAGAAAAGGAAGTCAAAGGTGGCAAACTTCTTAAAACACCAGGTTATGGAGCAGTGAAGACCAAATCTTGAAAATTCCTTTATACTCTGGAATCTCAGTGTGCCAGGAATCAGCTTTTCCCAGACAGCCCTCCCTTCTTTCTTAATCCTGCTTTTGAATGTAAAAAGGGCAAGCAAATCTCTCAGGTTCTGTATTTAGTTGTATCTCCATGCCAGAACAGGAAACACCAGTTTATTTTTATCAGCAGCATACCTGTAAAACCTGTGCAGCTACACAGGGAAGAGCTGCACATGCTTACAGGCGTAATGAAATCACACTCTCAGACTGAGACAATCCATAGCTGTGGGAACATAATCGTGCTGGTGCAGTAACCGAGGTTAAAGAGAAAATAGCTGTGCCAGCAGGAGTGCCACAGCTATACATGTGGCTCAGCAATTATCTGTACTGGCAGCAGTGGTTAATAGCCTTAGGCAAGTAACTTCAGTTGCTAAATTTAACAGTCTTACACAGAAGTTTCTGAACTACTTTAGAGAAATTGTTCACCAGAAAAGGTAGATAGAAAGAGGAAATAAAAACCTGAAGATGTAAGCAGATACTTACCTGAGCAGCTGTCTAAATTTGTTAAACATAAGTGGTATTTGCGCAGTTGCTTAGGAAATTAATATGACATTAGCGAAGTGTAGTAGCTGTGTGCTAGTAAAAATTTACGATCAGTATTTGTAGGAGGTTAAGAATGAATGATTTCTTGAAGATACTGGGTTTGGGAACAAAATTACAGGGCATTTCCCAAGTACTTTATTTTTCACTGTGTTACTAATTAATAATTATTGTATCTGGAAGCATTATCTTTTATTTGTTTGTCCGTTGTTTTCAAAAAACATGCAACAGACTCCCTAATAATGAAGGTTAATTGACTGGTGTGAAACATTGTTTCTGTAAACCTATAAAAATGAGAGTAAGTAATAAGGAAATAAAGAAGACTGAGCTCTATAGGAGTTGTGACCAACCCTTAATTTTCATGGACCAAAGATTTTGCTTGATTTTTACTAAGCTGGAACTGATACTCTACACCAGCACAACAGCTAAAGATTTTGTTGTGCTGAGTACCTGTAACTCATTTCTTTGTGTGTCCACTATTGTGCTTTTTAATCAGGCTTCATAACATTTCACAGACTCTGTTGTCCTCAGTCCTGAGCAGGTCATCAGCTTCCACCACCTCTGGTACCACCTCCTCCCCTGCCCCAGGCATACTATCTTTTGCTTACAGCCAGATGGTGGTTTTAATGAAGTCAGTTACATAATTGTTTAATATGGTTGAGCAACTGTTGCTCTGCATTCTTAATCAGTTAGAACAGTAATCAGGACACTGGAGGACTGCAAACACTAGGGAAGATGATTGTGATTTGTTTCTAGTCTTTTGATCTGTGGACAAAAAAAAAAAATAAATCAAAAAATGTGCCAGAATCAGTCAGGAATTATAAATTTATATGAACACTGCAGTGCCACCTACTGTCACTGGATATAAAATGCAGAATTTCACCCTTTTACAAATTTATTATTAAGTTATTTTAATATACATGTAATATACACAGAATCTAAAGGTAAAATACATATCATTATAGTATTTATTAATAGTGTGCATGTATCACAAACTTGATGGTTTCATAATATTTAGTGTCAGTGTTGATGGTGTTAAAGTTACCTCTCTAATTTGCTGACTTTTTTTGGTTAGTAGTATATTAAGATTATTTTAACCTTTTCATGTACTTTAAGGAACACTGATGCCACAGGAATTCATAACTTCTTGCTTATAAAAGTCCTAATACTGTTTTTCTTCAGTAAAATAGATCAGATCTTACTGATCTATAACTGTGAATTGGTCCTGTCTCTGCTTAAGCTTAACGTGTGTGTACACACTTAGATATGTACAAAATTCACATTCTGGTATCCTTTTACTCTTGACATCTACAAGTAGTGCACAGATTTGAAGAACCTTCGTTTTATTTTTCCTACTTATTTCAGCTAATTAAAAAAACCAAACACAACTACCACATGGTGTCACTCTAGTTCCTGGAATGAGCAAATGACCTTTGTGTTTTACTATCTAAACTGGATTTTGTCTCTTAGGATAAGAGCACCTCTTGCACGCTGATTTTAATTTTGGCAAGCAGTAGGAAGAACCTCAATTCTTTGCACTACAAGTAGGTGACGTGCCACAGGGATGCTGAGACATAGAGAAACAAGCTCCATGAAAAGCATTTATAAGCATCTCAAAAGAGGTTAAAATACAAGAATGTTTGTTTATATCTGTCTACCTACCTCTATAAAGAACAGCCTGCTCTTTTTTAATAGATTATACATAAATCCCAAAGAAATATTAAATTTTTTGTTGTAACTGATCTTCCCCCATATCCCCACCCCTTAGGATTAGCTAGATTATGTGCTTATCCCATTACTTTGTGTTTCTAATAATAGATACAGGAAGCAGGAGAAATGATCATGATGCCACTGGTGCAGGAAGACCACCTCCTTCACAATATAATCAACCCTCACCACCACCTCCACCAGCAGCTGCTCTTCAGATGGAAAACATGGTAAGCATGTAGCTGGAAAACTGGAACAGAATTTTATTTCCTAGTGACAAAAGAGAAATTCCTTGATTGGGGCTTTTTTGAAGAGAGTCCAGATCTAAAAGGAAACCTGTAGGTGTGTTCAGACTGCATTGTAAATGGGGCACAGCTGCTGTGGCTTACTGTACTTTCATTAAGCTCTTTTTTTTTTTTTTATTTTAGTGAAAACACATTAAAACAATGAAGACAAGGTCACTACAATAAGTATAATTTGCTCTCTAAGTTTCTTTCTGGAAAAAAGCTGTTAAGAGAGTTTTTTTTTTAAAAAAAACCTGAATTTAGTATAGTCTTGAAAGATGAAAAGCTGGCTTGACTTCAGACTTCTTTTTTAGTGGGGGGTAACACATACAGACATTGAGGGAACTCAGCTTATTGTCCTTCATACCAGCTTAGCAAGATCATCTAGCATGGTTGCTTTGGACCTGCCATGGAGTCATCCTGAAAACTTTGCCACTGTAAAACAGTATCATGCTAGAGAGTAGGTTAGAGCAGAGATGATGTGCATGCCTCTCTCCTGACTTTTCATTCTAATAGTGATAAATGTCATTCACACCATTTCTACAATTTTTAGACAAGTAATTTTATATTAGACAATAAAGAGTAACACTAGAGGTAAAATGTCTGCAAAGACAACACAATTAAAAGGGTAATTGGGATAGTCAAAAAACTGGCTATCTAAGGAGTAAAACTGTATTTTCTCAAAAGTAGTACTCATTCTGTATAAACTCTGGTTTCATTTCAGTTTTGTTGCCACCTGGCTCATGCAAGCACTCCTGAGACCAGGCTAGATTCTGATTCTCCAGTTATTGTCACTAGCACAACATCAGGATCTGGTGTAACATCATCACAAAAACTGGTAACATGCTAAAGTTAACTTTTTTCCTTCTTTTAGGACATAATCATAACAAATACTAGTTTGGGTATTGTTATTTGTGCATTTCTCAAAGCAGCACAGGTATGTAGTTGAGGACACTGCCACAGAGTTTACATAGCAGTATGAAGATGTTACATTTTAGTTAAATGATATGCTCTGTCTGATCCCTCGAAAATGTAGGGTTTATTCCAAGCCTGTGATCCTCCCCTGAAGTATCATGTGTCTGTAATCCCATTGGCCCGAATCTTAATCCGCTCCCTTGGATCTCCCTGTTAAGCTGTGCGAAGAGACCCTCTCTTGGCCCTTTTCTCCCTGGGCTCTCCCCCTTCCCCCCTTTCTCCCTCAGTAGCCATGCTGCTCCCGGGGGTGGGACCCCCAATAAACCCCCATCTAATCGGCACCCTCAGAAGGCGTGTGGAGTCTCCTTGCCTTCCTGCAGCGAACTCACAGCTTAGGGGACCCCCCCAGGGACTCCCAGACTAACTGCAACATGAAGACACTAGCTTGAAGATGCTTATTTATGTTATATAAATTCATTTAAGCTAGGAGCAGTTTTAAATTCTTTTTGTAGGCAGGGCAGTGTGGCAAAGTGAAAAAAAGAGTGCACTCAGGTATAGTGCAACAGGAACAATCTGTGTTGGACTTGATAACCTTTTGTTATGCAAATTGCTTTGTCTCATTATCCTGCTCTTTGAAATTTCTCCCTCATTCTCTTTTCTGTGCTTCGTGCTAAACTGCCCTCCTTTCTTTTCCACATTTGGCAAGGTCTGCTATCAGCTGTCAGAGAAAGATGCATTTTGGTATGCATGGGAGCGTTTTTATTATCTGCTCTGTCATTGCTAGAAAGGATTTCCACAATGATGGAAGTACCCTCAGATGTCACTCAAGAATGCAGTCAGCAAGCAAAGCTAAACTATCCATGCTTCTTGATTTTTGTCAAATTAGTCTTACTTCCCTCAGGACAGAAGACATTTACTTGAAACGCTATCACATAAGTAGAAAAAATGGAGTAATCCTGGTTGCAGCCAGGTGGAGCAAATTCAGTCCTGTGTAGTGTAACTGGACTACCTACAACATCACATGTTCCATTTAGGCATGTAGCAGATAAAACTGAGCAGAAACACCTAGCATGATAAATATTATGTTTAGAATTTTTTACTAATTAATATTTAATTTATTTATAGCCCATGCCAAAAGTAATAACATCTGCACAACAGAAAGCAGGAAGAACAATCACTGCTCGAATCACAGGCCGAGCTGATATGGGACAAAAATCCAGAGCTTCTGGGGGTTTAGCAGTGATGGGAGTTGCTCCACCCATGAGTTCAGTTATTGTTGAGAAGCATCATCCAGTCACTCAGGTAATCAGATTGTGTATTTATGTTCTTAAAGTATTTTTATTACAGCACATCTGGTAATGGTTTGAAGAAAAATTACCTTGTGAAGAGGTATTAGACAAAGGTCAGACTTGAGGCCTGTTGAAAACAGCAAACAGTACTTACTGTCTTTGTGTAGAAGGCACTGGTGAGGAAACGTCATGGTTTAACCCCAGGCAGCAGCCAAGCCCCACACAGCCACTCACTCATTCCCCCACCAGAGAGTTTGGGAAGAGAATCAGAAGGGTGAAAGCTGGAGAAATCATGGGCTGAGAAAAAGACAGTTTAATAGGGAAAGCAAAGGGTGTGCACACAAGCAAAGCAAAACAGATAATTAATTCAGTGCTACCCATGCACAGGCCATCTCCAGGAGAGCCAGGCCCCACCATGCAAAATGGTTACTTGGGAAGAAATGACATCGCCACAAATGTCCCCCCCATTTCTGCTTCTTTTCCCCACTTTATACACTAAGCTTGGTGCCACATGGTCTGGAATATCCCTTTGGTCACTTTGGGTCACCTGTCCTCGTTGTCTGTTCCCAACTTCCCAAGCACCCTCAATCTCCTCACCATCACGGCAGTACCAAAAGCAGAAAAGGCCCCCATTTCCTGCTATGACTCACAGCCGTGTGGCTTGCTGCTTTCAAGAATTTGGGTTCCTAAGCAGAAATTAATATTTAAATTTTATGTTCTTAGGAGTTTAGAGATTCAGTGTGGTAATTATTTCATGAAGAACAGTTTCTGGCTTCAGATTTTGTGACTAGTGTGACAAGGAAAGTACCTGAACTACTGTAACAAAAACTGACTTCTGAAAATGTAGTAACTGTGAAAGCCCTGGAGATACATTCTGTATACCCATTCTGCAAATAAAAATCTTAAGTCAAGTATTTGTCTTGAGTTAATTTGAGAGGGAAGAGAGTTTACCTTGATTAAAAGCAGAATGAATACTGTTTATTACACTAAGGTGGCTGGTTTTATGGGCAGAAAATTAATTCTTGATAAAATTGCAAACCTTGTATTTTCAAAGATTTTTCAGGGACTGCCTCATAGCAAATACTTCAAAAGGAAAGTTGGCATGATTAAATTAGCACTACAGGGGAAAATTGTGAACAGTATAGTAAAAAACTAAAACAAACCAACCTTGAAATAAGACTGAGGTGAAAAAAGCCCAAAATATTTAGGTAACTGGAAGTTTAGCACTTTGTATTCTAAAACTCTATGACAGATAAGAAAGGAAAAAAACTTACTCTTTCTCTTAAATGACCATTTATTTTTTCCTTCTTGATAAGTGTATTTCAGTTTGCTAGGTTGCAGGTCTTTCTTTTTAAACAACAGCTCACCAAGAGCTATTTTAATGTGACTTTTTTGTGTCATTAAGTGTTTTGATGTATCTGATTACTTTTCAGCAAACCATATCACAAGCCACTGCTGCTAAGTATCCTCGAACTGTGCTTCATTCTTCTGGCTCTACCACTTCGAGACCTGCAGGACAAGCTGGGCGAGTGCTTCAGAGCCAAACTCATACCAGTGTTCAGTCAATAAAAGTTGTTGACTGACTATCTTTCTCACCAGTAGGGGTTTTTAATCAAGGTACCACTTCCCAGTCTTTTCAGATTCGATGCAGTAAGGCCTAAAGTACATATCATGTTTTTACCCTTTTCTAAAAAAATGAGGTTTTTAAAAGTAAAAGTGCTTTTATAATAAAACCTGGAGGAGAAAAAAGAACTTGAACTGTTTTTCTACCTCCAAACTTTTATTATTAGGACAAATATTTTCTATTTAAGGAATCTTTAGCACACTTTTTAAATAAAGGATACAATGTGATTTTTGTCTGAATCTCTTGTTTAATCCCAATGATACTAACATCTGTGTTCAAGAGAAATTTTTTTTTTTCTTACTTTTAGTTGTTTATGCATGTAAGTATAGCTGGCTTGAACCTTAATTATATCCTGCAACACTGTATTTAAATGGAGAACAGCAGGGTAGCATCCTCCTCACCCAGGTCCAATTTAAGCTAGGTGAGGTGCCCAGTCCATCAAATTCTTAAACATTTTCATTTTGCAAGCTAATGTTGTAGAACTTGACGAATACTGTAGGTTTCCAAGCATTTGTACTTTAGCTCCCTAATTCCAAAACTTTATGATTTACTGGTCTTTTCTTCATATTCCTGGGATGCTCTGCAGCAGAGTCAAAGAAGCGTGCAAACAGGAGGGCAGTTTGGAATAAGACTTCAGACTAAGATACAGATGACTTTTTAGTACAAACAGTAGGATTCCGCTCAAAATAATGCTAGCCATATGCAAACAGAAAAGGCAATTCAATTCCTACATCATACTATATAAAACTATTGCTATGTTATAAAGAAGATCACTAAGATAGACATTTACATAATTTTTCAGATATTAAATATATTCAGTAATAAGCCTTTAAACATAGTCAGCAGGATACTGCCAAGTATTAATTCAAGATATAAATAAATAAATAATTGCTAGATGTGTGAAGTATTAAATATCAAATGCTCTTTTGAGGGTATGTATACAGTGTTATGCCATGATAGAACATTCTACAGCCAGCCACACGTGGTATTTACATATGACATTTTTGTTTCTTCACTACATAAATCAAATGTTGCAGTAGAAAGACTTGTCATAATCCTAGCAAGAATTTATAAAACCTGAATCCCAAGTAAGGCCAGATGCCAACTTATTTGCCAAGTATTAATTGATTTATACACATAACTTTCACTTAACTAAATTTAATTTTTTCATGTAGAAAACATCTTATTTACATTTCATATCAAACACAGAGTAGTTTATTTTGCAGTTCCAATACAGAATAGCTTTATCAGTGTTAGGTCAGATGTAGAAATTGTAAGTGGTGAATCTTGCTTAGCAGTTATAAGCTAACACTCAGCCATTCATTCTTAAATTTTTTACATAACTGTTTAGCAAGCATTTGAGAAAAAAAGTAACCATTTCAGGAGTGCAAGTTCTAGGGTGGAAAAAGTTGTACAACTTCAAAAAATGGTTTTTGTTTCCCAAAAAGATATTTGAAAGCCACTTTCCTTCTGGCATGTTCCATCATATATGCCATGTTTTGTTGATGAACTCATGAAATGACACATTTCCTGGAGTCCATGCCAATGCTAATTGAAGCTCTGATCTTCTCTGTAAAGTAAAAGAAAACACTTGATTGGTGTGCTCTGCTTTGCACAAGGTCAGACTAACTGAAGGATGGCCAGTCACAATTTAAGTGTGTGTACAGGAGATGAGGGAAGCAAAGTTTGCACATCTTTCTTTAGAAGCCTTAATTCTGACATAAATGCTTTTTCTCAAGCAGCCTCACTCCTCAGGGAGGGCAGTCCCAGAAAAGAAGAAAGTGTCCTCCACCCCTGCCCTAGCCACAGCTTCCCAGCACCAGCAGGGACCTCGGCATGGCACTGCAGTCTCATAGGTGACACTGTAATGTGCTCTGTATCAACTTACCAGCTAAAGACTGAAGTCCTGCTTCCACCAGATCTTCATATAGATGTTTAACAGGATTCTGATGAGCCAGCAATGTACCATGTAACCAGATGAGCAACATCCTATTCCCATGCTCCTTGTAACTTTTTTTCCCTATGCAATACACAGAGTATTTGTTCAATATGTTGGAAACAGTGTGCTTTTGCACTTTAAAAGTTCCAAGAGGTTTTAAAATTACTCCTTACTCTTAACTACATTTCTCATCTAGAAGAAAAATGAAGACTGAAGCTTACAAAAGTTTAAAAAAAAAATCTCATTTTATCCTAACACTACTGTTAAGACATAAAAAACACCTAATACATCTTAAAATTAAATTTTCCTTTCATTTTCCCCCAAGCTGTGGCAATACACCCTGGAGTAGTAGTAATAAGTACAGTATGTGCTGCAGAAGTACTGTCTTCCCACCACTTGAGAGGCCTGAAACCAGGAACTCCTGTTTCATGGCAGCTGTGCAGACAGCGCATGAGCAGAATTTCTCTGTGTCATGAGGTTCCCCAGGTCCTCACTTGCAGCATGACCCCCAAGAACCTTCTATGATGCTCATGGCTTCTAGTTTTGATCTCCAAAGAGGAAGGTTTCTTCAGGCCAAGAGGGAGAGCAGAATGTCTTGTACTGCTACAGCACTGCTTCCCAGGAACTAGGGACAAGGCTGGTACCCCTTCACTATAGGATAGTCAGATAGTTTAAAAAGCAACACTTCCTTGTGGGGGCTTTTTATCCTATATATTGTGTCTGGCCACTCAGATATTGTTACCTGTCCACTGTTCTTCAATAGCTTTAATTTGTTCATCTGTGAACTTCCAGAACAAAGCCAGTTTTCTCCACTCGTAGGGTTTTAACTGGTTGTATGCTAGATTCCAAAGGGACGAACGGATTTGCTTGGTCTGTGTGCTGTGGTCTTGTTTGAAGGACACATTGAAGTCTGACCCATTACCACCATGAGCTAGATGTGTCTAAAAAAGAAAGCAGATGATAAATTGTGTAACAGAGCTGGGAACCTTTGCTCAGTGAGGTCCTGTACAGATGTATCTGCTGACAGATGCTTTACTCAGTGCCTGTAAAGGAACTGTGTATTGCCCATAGAAACAGAACTGAAACAAAGAGTTCCAGTGTTTGTTGTATGTATTACTAAATTAATTGCAAAATAAGCCACTTTCTCTGGTACTTGATACACAAAAGCAAAGTAACAGCAACTGTTGTGTCAGCACTGCTGTGCTGCTTGGTTCTGTCTATGTCATGTTTAGAACACAGCTGAGTTTCAGGCACAGTTCTTAACCCTTTCTCTTGCTTCTCAAAGCACTAATCTTTCCCTGAGGAGAGGGTAGGCACCATGGGCACAGCGCCTGCTCAACCTGTTCCTGCCTCTGCCCTGTCGGCTTCACTTGGCTGAAGTGGGGACTTCCAGATCCTTTGCTGGTACCATCAGCCATTAGGTTTATCACAGGGACTCCCATTCAGCAAAGTGTCTAAACACCAGTGTGCACATGTGTGTTGAGCATGGATCTAGTTTCATTCTTGCATAAGTAAAATCAGGCAGAAACCAAAATCACATGGATTTTACCCTCCCAATTAAAAGTGATGTTCCTACTGTATGCATGGATCACCTGGAACAGGAGTGATGGGGTTACCTCTTGTTTGAGCACCTTGGCAAAAACCATGTCAAGTGATTTCAGTTCTAGCTAAGCTGTGCCCAGGAACATTCCTAAGTAGTTAAGCTCCAGCTATTTCTGTATTTCATTACATTTATGTACTAGTCCTGTTTCAAATAAATCTTCAAAGGGAAAAAATTTCTTTACAAATTTGATAGAGGATGACAAAGTAGCTACTAAGCAAAAAAGGAAACAGCAGTAGGCCACATTTTAAAAATACTAAGCATAAAGTGCTTCATTCCAAATTAAATTCAGAAAAATACAGCAGGGTTATTTCCTAGCCTTACAAGAGACTTACAGAGAAAAAAAAGTCACAGTTCAGTAACTAAGCACCACATTTTTGGTTCCATTCATCTGATGCAGACTTTATTTCATGCTTCTTAACACATGCAAGGTAAAGTTTAGAACAGCTTCAGGGTCTCTCTGATTAGATCATTTGCTTATGATGTTTAATTAAAAAAAAAAAAAAAACCTCTTTACAGCAGCACAGCTTCCCTTTGCTGCTGTGTTTTGAGGCAACAGCAAGGTGGGATAGTAACAGCTGCCCTCAAATCCAGTTAAACCCAGCCTAGACAGTGATAGGGAAGGGTTGTGTAGAAGTGATAAACAGAGAAGGGGGCAAACAGAGAGATGACAGTCAGACTTTAGTATCATGTGCCCTTCCTCTCAGCTACATGATATTTCCTTTTGTAATTAATGCTTTGTCACAAATGACAAGTCAGCTGAATGTAACTAAAAGACAATCCTTAAAATAATGTTTCAAAATGCTGTAGTTCCAGTATGGTAACGCCACCAGCATCATATTCCATAGCCGTAAGATTTAAGCTGTTCCAAAGGCTGCACTCTCAGCTTCAGGCAACAGGATACAAACACTTACGTTTGTATTTCCCAACATCTCTGGTGCTTGTGCAGAAAGGCATCTGATTAACACCTTTTCTTCAGAAAATTCAGTGAACAATGCCAAAATGTTGAGAATATTATGGGCTTACTGCTGTCAGACTTGTTATGTCTTCTGTGGCAACAGACTGCTTCTAATTCCTCTTTGAAGCAAAAGAAACAGTAATGGGAAAAAGTAACAGTACCTGACAATTCCAGCTGAACTGGTGCAAATCAAATGCTCAATACAGAGAGTTCATGGAGGCTTTTTTTGCAATAATTAATCTAGATCTGTGACTTACCAGCCCTGTAACATTAGTGTCATGGATTTGGCCACTCAGGACAGGAGTGGGGTGGTAAAACCAGCTAATCTTGTACCTGCGCTGAGACAGGATCTGTATGCTGATACACTTGGCTAACTCAGCAGGAAGCAGGAGTGAGAACAAAATCACAAATCGATATGGCAATTACTTGTAGCCCATTAGAGTAGCCCATATTAATTTTATAATAAACACACAAGGGACAGAAGAGGGAGCTTCTGTTGAAGTAGCTGAGCTCTTGCTAAGATCTGCTTACAGTTTTACAGCTAGTCAGGAATAAAGCCTGGATGGGCTTTCCCATTCCCATTTCCCAGTCCTAACTTTTGTTCATCAAGGCCAGTCTTACTGCCTGCCAAAAGGAACCACCTCAGCCAAAAGGCATCTCAAAATCAGAAGTGGCTTTTCCCTTAGGTATCTTGT